CACGTTTGCAGAAAGAGTGAGCTAGCGGAGTCTTCCCCAGCTCTAGCAAATATATGTCTTTAAAAGTCTCAGGCGCGGGTGAAAGGAGTCGTAGTGTAGTAGTGTGATAGCTGCAAAGATGAGAGGTTCTTTCACTAGGAACAAAAGTTGAGGAGTGAAAAGTGAAAAGTGAAAGAAATTCAAGTCGTGTGTTAGAAACTAGCAGCTCTAATCGTAAGCCATCGGTCTGTTGCTGCGCCGCAGCCACAAACTTTGCAGGAACCTGGAGATCTGCCGCTCTCACGTAACTCGTGGCCGATCAAGAACGCAACCCATGGCACAGAAGCCCCGCGTTACAGAGATCTGGTAAAACAAGCTGAGCATGAAGCCGCCGAGTTCGCTCTGAAATATCTTGACGAAAGCGAAGATTCGACATAGACTGATCAGGCTGGATAGAGACTGCTTCGTTGGCTATTTTTAGTAAACGCCTGGGTAAGATCATGGCTCAGTAAGGGCATGGCTATGTAAGGGCATGGCTATGTAAGGGCATGGCTCAGTAAGGGCATGGCTCAGTAAGGGCATGGATCTCGAATCAGTGATACCGACTCAGTACGCTCATGGCTCAGCATATTAGTTTGGATACTTTAAGGTATGTTTTCTATACTACAAGTTTAATTCCGTAAAAGGGATTATCTTTTAGTTAATCTTTTAGTAATATTCGATCCATTTCGTGGGTACACCGCTTGGACTCAGCATGAAAGCATCACGCTTTACAAATAATTTCCTCTGTCTGGTTAAGCTGCTTCTCCATTTTAGCATTTGAAGTGTCTGATAATAAAGTGCTTCAAGCCTTTAACTGTGGCCATTCTCTCTATGGGAACTATGAGTAAGAGGATAGATCTATTCAAAAACCGTGCTCTAAGGATGTTTCAGCCTGATGTATCCTCTAGCGAACTAATAAATTTAGATATCTCGTCCTTGGTACTCAAAAAGGACTGATCAAACCTTGAATGCTGCTCTTGTATCTTCTGTTCCAACCTAAGGAACCTATCTTCGATCGATCTCGAATCTGGTTTTGCAACCTTGAGCTGGGACGAGTCAACCCCAGGGCGGAGAGATGTCTGTGGCTGAATCTCGTGCAGCGTCGGCTTTCCATGTTTCTTGCACAGAGTGTTAATGTCGTTGTTCGCACTTTCCTTCCCCAGCACCCTACACAGATCTGATCTAGTCAGATGGTGCAGTTCGTTGCTCCATATAATCCAGCAGTGTGTCTCTGGAGTCCTGGGACTATTTGTACCGTTATGCGTCTTGTATTCGGGACTTGTCACCGCGAGTAGGCTCTCATACTTTCCGCGGTCTTTGTACGACCATTTACGCTTTTCTACCCCGGTTCCGGCAAGCTGTAGTGTTCTGGGAACCTGTTTGTACTGTTCGACTTGGCGAAGGCCAACCTCAGACCCGGACTTGATGGTCCAGACGGGGCAGCCGGCTGTTTCCTCGACCACGCAGCGGGTGCCGCTGCCACAAGGGCGCCATGCCATGATACGTTTCCCATCCTTCGAAGTGCCTGTCGCCCATGTCCACAGCTTAGTCAGTGGATCAGCCACAGCGGCCTGCGCAGTGTCTTTGCCGCCCTTTCCGCCACACTCCCGGAGGAGTTCTGTCCAGCTTTCTGGATAGGCACGGTCTTTGCTGAGTTTATCGAGCGTCGCAGTGGCTGCGCCGAGGGCCTCCACTCTCGTCTGGTCGTCTGGGTCTTCGTCAACTTTAGCACGCGCTGTAAGGATATCGTCGATGACGTGTTTTAGATCCTCGTGGCCGATGATTCCATCGGTCAGGTGCTCTTTGGGTAGCTGTGCTCTGTTGTTGTAGTCGAGAATATCTTGGTTGATTTTGTCAATCTGCAATCTTGCGCCCGCTTCTTCATCCCGCACGAATGCAAGGACATATCCATAAGCCTGGGTATGCATGCTTCTATAATGTTCCCGATGCTCGCTGGACTCGGGGACTGGTGGGAGATCCACATCAACTTCCATTGCCTCTCCATCTTCAAGGTCGTCCGAGGTCCTTGCGGCCAGCTTGCGCCTGCGCTCGGCCTTTTTCATGCGCTTTCTTTTTATGCTGTCATCAACTTTCAAGTTAGCACTCTTATGAGAAGCCTGCGATGCTTGAGTCATCGGTGCTACAGGTTGGCTAATGGTCTCATCCGACTTGCTGGGTCCTGACGATGGTTCGGGCGCCTGAGACGTGGCTAGCTGCTGGCGTGGCTTTGTCTCACTATCAGTGACGAAAAGAGGACTGTCAGACTCAGCACCGCGCGCCCTGAGTTGGTCATTGTGCGTGTCAAGTGGAGGCTGCAGAGCCTGCAGCGGCGGCGGCGCTGTGCTCGTTGAGATATTGCTTTGCTCTTCGCTGGGTCTTGACGCTGGTTCTGGTGTTAGAGACGGGGTCCGCTGCTGACGTGGCTCGATGTTCTTATCAGGGATGAGGAGATCGCTGCCAGACTCAGCAGCCTGCGCCTTGGGTTTGTGTTCTTGAGTATCAAGTGGAGGCTGCGAGGCCTGCAGCAGCGTTGAAGCCGTGTCGGTGGAATGCTCCTTGCTGGTGTTCATACTGGTGCTCATGACTGCTGTG